ATATATACACACACACACACAATCTCAGTAAGATTCAAGTAAGTTAAAACATAATAATTACTAAAATATTTAGTAATGAAAATAGTTCATTTACTTATTAAAGTTAATGAGACAGCACAACAGCCTGAAAAAGTCAGACAGCCCAAGTCAATTTTCTACCCCTATAATTGGTAACAGAAAACACTAGCATTTGTTTTTCATTATTGTGTGGTAATAAATAAGAAGGTATAATACCCAAAGAATAAGAGAATTATGACTTACATCTATGGAGTATTTACTCATCTAGGTAATTTGATTAAATTTTGAACATAAAATGATTTATTCTATTATTTAAAACCCATTCACTAGGCTGGAAAATTCCATGACACTGGAGTCTTAAAAAGAGAAATGGAAACATGAAAATAAAAAAAAAAATCTGTGGATCCACTACCCCCCCGCAATAGTTCTTTTTAGACTTTTTATTTAAGTCTAATGTTTCTGTTTGGGGGGAGGGGCTAGGAATCACTATATTATAGTATTAAAGCCTTTTTCATTAAAAGTATTCTCTAATATTCCCACAAATTCTTTACAAACATTTTCAACATATATTCCATCAATTAGATATACTATAATTTAGCATTTCATCATATAGGACATTTGTTTATCCCAATTTTTTCACTATTTTAAATGACATTCTGAAAAACATTTTTATTTATTTATTTTATTTTTTGGTACCGGGGATCGAACTTGGGACCTTGAGCTTAAGAAGCAGGCAGCAGAACCACTGAGCTAAATCCCCGACCCTAACATTTTTATATAAAATGCATTTTCATCTTCAGAATTATTTCTTTAGAATAGATTTTCAAAAGTTGGTTAATAAGAAAACAGGATGAAAACAAACACTTTAGCCGGGTGTAGTGGCGCACGCCTGTAATCCCAGTACTCGGGAGGCTGAGGCAGGAGGATAACTGTGAGTTCGAGACCAGCCTGGGCTACAGAGTGAGTTCCAGGTCAGTCTCAACTACATAGTGAGATCCTGTCTCAAAAAACCAAAAACAAAAAAACAAAAAAACAAAAAACAAACACTTTAAGGTTCTTAACATACTGTTCCTAATGGATTTCCAAGAAGATTTCAACAGACCTCTGAGTAGGTTTACAAATGCTACCTCACTGCTACCAGAATCAGCCATGCTTTAAACATGAAGTATCAACAGTTAGAAAAAAGTGTGCCAACTGACCTCAGTTGCTGCTGAAGGGTTTGTAGTTACTATTAAGGAACAAAGAGCCCAAACTAAAGACTGGTTGGTTTAACCCTTTTTTTTCTTTTTGAGATGGCATCTCTCTGTGTTGCCCAGGCTGGCCTGGAACTCTTGGCCTCAAGTGATCCTCCTGCCTGAGCGTCCCAGGTAGCTGAGACTAGATGTGGCTCGACATGCACATATTTATTGATTGACTGGTTGATTGATTGAGACAGGGTCTTACAATGTAGTTCAAGCTGAGCTCAAATTCCCAGTGATCCTTCTGTCTCAGACTCCTGAGTGCTGGGATCATAGGCATGTGCCATCATGCCCCACGATTGACCCAGGTTTTTCAGGTTGGCAAGATCACCTAAAGAAAACAAGTACCCAAAGCCAGCCAAATCAAACACATAGAAAACAAATCCAAATAAACAAAGTTACCTGGCAGAATCACAAAGTGCCGTATATGCAAATGTAAACATCTTACAATTGTAAAACCTGGTATAAATGTAATGTTAACAAAATCATATATGACTCCACTTGATATTTACTGAGTGTGTTCCTCTATGCCAGGCATGGGGGTGCGTATAAGCCTTGGTAGAAAACTTCACTATTACAACTCATGCCCTCCCAGGCTTGGCATCCTGCCTCTCCATCTTGCATATCAGACAAGGAATACTTGTAGGAAAACTAACATGAATGAAAAGTACTGAAGCAAATCTAATTGTCTGCAAACCCAATTCCATGTTTGACTTCACTTATAAAACAAAAAAAAACTACAAATCCCAAACATAAATTAGTTAGCTTCATTTTACGACAATATTTGGTTGGCAAGGAGGACAAAAGAGAGGGAGGAAGCCAGGATAAAAGAAGATTTAGAGGTAATAAAAAATGCTTACTATGCTATTTAGTCCAGTTTCAGACAAGTCAAACATCACTGTGATAGGTTTCCCATTTTCTCTCTTAGCGTAATGTTCCAACCAAAATGCTATAAGCTTCTTTTTGTCCATTATCGTTTTCTGGTCTTTTATGTGATACTTCACCCTGATCCAGACTTTAAATAGAACACAAAATAAAAATAAGGACAAGATTTACAGCATTTTAGTATTATTATACATATATAGGCCTTCCCTTGACATGTTTCTTCATTTATAATTCATTTTGTTTCTCAGATTAAAAATATCTTTCTTTTAAATGCATTTGGGACCTTTAAAGAGTAACAGAGAGGTAAACTAGTATTCTTTCCCTTAGGAAATAAACAAACCTCATTTTTAAGTAAGGGGAAAAAGAAAATGCAGGGGAGCAAACACTATTTGGTAATAACCTAAAAGTGCTCTTCAGTGTGCTTAAAAAGGGAGCCAATGGTTCTGTCAAACACTAAAAGAAATGGTCATCCCAGAGGAAAGGCACTGACAGGTGTGATGGAGGCTGTGCAAGTGAGTAGAGCATGGCAAACCCTTCGGGTGGTGGCAGTTGAGACAAAATGTGATGCGTGGGGAAAGAAGAACTTTGAGTGAAATGCTAGGGCATTTTGATTTTCCTAATTCAAAACACCTCTTGGACAGTTAGAGGGAGAGTGGAGTGGTAGAGGCAGGGAATGCAACCTAACAGGCTACAGTATGGGAAGGGACTGAGAACCAGGGAGTGGTAACTTAGGCCCAGACCTGAAAAAGTGGCTTCTAGCGATGGAAAAGGGGCCAACTTGAATCTAGATTAGAGGAAGAGGCAATAAATGGGTTTGAGATTGGCAATTCACAAAGAGGGCAGGTGGTAAGATGTGGAAGGTCAGTTGTGGGTATTATGGAAGGTGGCTGAAACACAGCCAAGTGACACCAGTTGGTGGGCACTTGGATCTGTACATGCGGCCTGGGAACTGCGCAAGATCCCCACTGTGTGTGGGGAGAGGGCTGAATCTGCCAATGTGCTTGAGATGACCCAGCGAGACAGCATCAGCTGGAAGGTGAAAAAGGCCAAGAAAGGAATGAAGCCTGGGAAACATGGTTTTGGGGAGGTGGCACAAAATCTATGAAAAAAGATTAAAGGGGAAGAAGCAGCGATAAAAAGAACATACAAAGGGAATATCATTAAAACAAAACCCAGCTCACAAGCTACAGCAAAAGCAAGCAAGATGAGCACAGGATGTCTGTTCAGTCCAGGCCTCAGAAGTGCTCACCAAGGCCCAGCCTTGGAACGAAAGAAAGCAAGCTAGATTCAGGCCAAGTGGGAAAGAAGGACAACAAAGGAGTCACTTGAACAATGGAAATGACTGTTACTATTCCTCTTGTTATTACACTCCTTTCAGAAAAAGCTAAGGGGAGATTATGGGAGACATGAATGAAGTCCATTTAGCAACCTTTTGTGATTTCCATAAAAATACTGGGTCAAATGTTAACACTATGTATAGTTAAATTAGAAAGAAGACAATGACTCTAAATCAAATTATTTTGGCTCTGTTACAGGATGCAGCATTTACTTTTATCATCTACTTTATTATAATGCAAACAGTGTGCACAACTACTAGTATCTGACACTTGGTAAAGATGGTGCTAATGATCCTTACTGCATGAGACTCGCCATATGTTACATGTGGAGAAAGTTCTGCTTATTATTAATTCAACTGAGACAGATACATCTAAAAATCTTGAAAAGCCAGTGCATAAATTAAATATACTTACACAATTTGTTTCCTTCTCTGTCATAACCGTGGAGGTAAATACCACCAACTTCTAATAACCATCTGGGAATGGAGGATTCAGTAAGGTCTAAAAAGTGATAAACTTTCATTAGTAATTATAATTTAGGTTCCTAAAAATGTAAAGGTAATGTTATGTAGTAGTTGTGAAATAAAGAAAAGATATAACTTATTCAAACATCTGACAAGAACTCTGGCAATTAAAAAAAGGAAACAAGCTAAGGACAAGCAGGTGACAAGAAAAAAGTTCATTTCCTTTGACATGTCAGCTGTTTTTTATATGGCTACATTTCCACATTCTGCTTATGTCTCACATAATAATTTAACTTGTGAATTACTGTATCACTATTAGACAATTTCAGCACATAGTAAGGTCTCAGGATGTATCTCAGTAGCAGAGTACGTCCTGAGCATACATGAAGCTCTGGGTGAAAAAAAACAAAAACAAAAACATGCTGTTAAATAGTAACACAGTCTCAGAATTAATGAAACAAATTACTTCAGTTTTCCTAGTAAAATGGTATTTTTATGCAAAGTTTGGTATCCAATAGACTCTAATGTACATTATAACTATGGGGCAGGTGCAAAATAAGAAAAATGCAAGACCGTATAGCAGGAGGAACAGAGGTACTATTTCAATCTCTGGGGAGGTTGAGGACCAATGGGGCAAGGCAGCAAACATCAAAGCTTTTGTTTCCTTCACTCCATGAACCTGCAAAGATTCTCTTTCCATACCCCACCCCATCATATCTCTGTTCTTGGCAACCAGAAACTATCAATTCTACGTGAGAACACAAGTACTGTTTAGCTGAAAGGTTTATTCTGTACTTCAATGACTTAAAAATATCACATTTATACTTTTTTGCTTGATTAATAAGTGCTTTAGTTTTTGCTGAAATTACCTATAGGTTTTATACTTCTAATCACCTCATTTCTTAGATACTCTCTTCCTCAAGGATTCCTTGTACAAGTAGAACGACTGCAGAAAGTATCTACTCTAGATTTATTTGTTGACTGTTTATGTTAGGTCTTCAGACTCGGTCACTCCAGAGTGAGGAATCTTCTTTATAGCTAATTGAAATTGGTAGTTATGCTGGTTACTTCTTATTAAATCTTTAAGAAGGGAATTCTTCATATATTTGAATATCATTTTAAAACTCCCTCCAAGATTTAAAACTCTCATTTTAGGGAGAAATTTCCAATCTAATAGTGGATCTAAAACTTGTGAAGTTCAAGAGATGGCTGCAATAAACACCTTAGGGATAATAAGCTTGCTTTTCTGGGATCCCCATCCACTTAGCAATTCTACATGGAATACTCATAAACACAAGGAACTCGAGGGACAGGGAAATACATGGGCAACAACTCAGAAAACCAGTGTCTCCTTATTTCTAGAGGCAGTAGAGAAGATACTGTCTTTCTTTTGTTTAATGGTATTCAACTAAACACAGATTAGGGGACTACAGTTGAGGGTGATTCTGCTCCCTGTTAGTTTGATTTCCTAATGAATCATCCTTCTTTTGTAAGATTTTTTTCACAAGCTTTTCCTCTGAAAGTATTATCAGATCTTTATAAATACCTATATTCTGGTGTTTATGACTGCTAGCAGTATGATAAACACAAAATAGTAACACTCATGTAGTTGACACCTTATCAAAGTTAAATTGAACAGCTTACCGTGGACAGAAAATTCTTTTCTCCACTGAAAACTCTCATCAATCATCTTCAGTGTATCATCCACAACATTATGTCTCCAATGTAAGTAACTTTCAACCCAGTTATCATCTTGTTGTAGCCTTTCAACATCTCGTGGATCATACTTATCTGACTTATCTAGGGAAAAACAGCAATAATCATTCAAATCAGATTAATTCTGCAATGAAAAATAATAAACACTAATGCCAAAGGAGAAGAAAGACCAGGGGCAGAGCTAAGCTTTGTTTTTCCTTTTGAGACACTGTCTTGGCTGGCCTTGAACTCACCTCAAACTTGCGGCAATCCTCCTGGCTCCGTTTCTCGAGAGCTGGGATTATAGGTATGCACAGCCATAGCCAGCTCTAAAGCCAAGCTTTTTGAGGCTAGACACAGGAACATAATTCAGATGAAAATGCAATTTAACACATTCACGACAGGGCCATAATTCATGTCTCACTGCCAGATGGGTGATACATGCATGCTGTCCCACTGGGCAGCTTTTTACTAATTGTAGTTGTAAAACCAATGACAAGAGTGATTAGAACTGTTTGTACCATCAGTGGTACAAGCCATCCAATGGGACAGTCATGCATGTCACCAGTGATTCAAGCTGCTGAGAATGTTTTAAATGTTTCATAAAATTTCTAAATGAGAGAAGAACAAAGTTATGTAAAGACTACAGACTAAGGCTGAGGCAGGAGGACCACTTGATCTAATGAGTTTGAGACCAGCTTGGCCACACAGTGAGACTTTGTATCAAAACAAACAACCCTAAAAATATGATCATAATAAAATATTAGGCATAATTCTCTAAAATTACAACCAACATCTGAGATCAATTTTATGAACTTGAAATCCTTAAGATAGTTGACCGAAAATAATTTTTATAAAGAAATGACCTAGTTATTTTAAAGACAGTTGCTTTGTTTCATAAAAAACTAATCACATATGCAACATCATGGCATTTACTATTTTCAGACTGTGAGGCCAACATTTCAAATAATTTATTGAGATAATTCTTCCCCCCCCCCCAGTATCGATAATCAAACTCAGGACCTTGCACTTGCCAGGCAGGCACGGCACCACTGAGCTACATCCCTAGCCCTTGGGATAATTATTTTCAAAACCAGTTAATTCTCATCATCTGCCAACACACATATTATGCTTTTCTTAACCTCTGTATCAGATACAACTCCTTGCCTGAGCTTCTTGTAACTGAACTCTCCTTGTCTCTGTATCATTACCTGCACACATTCTGCAACACTCCTTTCAGCTGCTTCAACTTCCATGAAATTCTCTCTGTACCCTCTGTCAATAGCAACAGGACTTGAACCAAGCCTCTCTCAAGGCACTTACAGTTCTGAACTTGAATTAGAGTTACTGGCATGCATGCCATCTTTTCCAAATAGGCAGTAAAAAAGGCCCAGAGCCTATATGTCCTAAGAATCTTTGGAAGCAGATAAGAGCAACATCAATGAAAAGGCCTTCTTCAGTAAACATTTGTCAACATAATGTATTTTATCCATGTTTTTCTTGTTCAGTTATCTTTCCCAGGGGCCCAAGCAAAACCTCAGGAAAATTCTCTGGCTTCATTTCCTCTTCTTTCACATCTAGTCAGCTGCCGAGTTTTATAGATTCTACCTCTCTCGATTTGCACTGCCTTTATTTCAGGGCCCCAGAAATAATGCCCCATTTCCCCGAAAATAAGACCTAACTGGAAAATAATCAGCCTTGAAAACTAGAGATCAAACTACCGGCCCCAATCAGCATATTCTTGCCTTACCTGCCTTACAGAGCAGCCACCAAACAAGATAACAGTGATGGCAGGTAAAGCAAGGATATGCTGATTAGGGCTGGCATTTTTGATTTCTGGTTTTCAAGGCTGATTATTTTCTGCTTAGGTCTTATTTTCAGGGAAACAAGGGCTAAAAGGGCAGGGAAATATTCTGCAAAATACTGTACCTCAGTCTGCAAAACAATGGTTTACTTATCAGTCATTTTTTCAAACAAATACAGTGGTTATTAAAAAAAGTAATATAGCTGGCAACTCAAAGGTATCATGCAGAGTGTTTTATATGCACTTCCCCAATTTTCTCACACAAGATTAAAACGACATGTATCAAGGGCAAAGTAAAATTTACTGTATTATCATATGAGAATAGTTTTGACCTCCAGGCTTCTGAAAACCTTAGGCAGCCTCTATGTCCCAGACCACTGAAAACTACTTATAATAATATTTGGCAAGTGATAAAATCTCAGTAATCAGCCATAATAAGAAAAACAAAACAGTACTGTTACCATTAGTAATACTATCAGAAGGGATAGCATAAACAAGATAGCACCCTTTACTAACAAATTTAAAGCCCAGTGGTCTTTGATAGCTTTCAAGGAAGTAGGTCTGTGAAATTAGAAGCTTCCACTAATATTAAAGTGATTATTTATTGCTGTTAATAGACATGTTTTCACACATGAAATGCTGATTTTTAACCATTTAGTTCTGGACAAAAATAGAAATGAAAACTGGGAGGTGGGGGGAGAAGGTGACTGAAGAGGGTACCATATGGGGCTTGGGAGAAAGGCAGGAGAAAAATGAAGGTAGAAGGTGGCAGAAGACAAGGTAATGGAAAAGAGGGGTAAAGGCAAGACAGGGAGGGAGAATAAGACAGAGAAAGAGAAAGGCAAGGGAGGCAAAGGCAGACAGAAGATACATAAAGAAAACAGCATTCAAGTTAAGAAACCTGACCCAGGGGCCAGAAACAAGGCCAAGAGGGAATAACTAACTGTGCTTATGACAACATCTGTTGTGTTCAAACACAGCACTCAGACAACTGAGCCCTTACGTGACTGGGCATTTTCAGTAAATCTATCAATCCTTTGGTGAGTCCAGATGGATTGGAATGGGTCTCCTCCAGTGGGGCCTATAAGAGGGTGGTTAGGTCATGAGGGCTTCTCTCTTAATGGGAGGAAGGCTCTCATAAAAGAGGTTTTGTACTCTAGAAGCTGAGGGGAATGGGAGCATCTGGACCACTTCTCAAAAAACAAACAACAAGTAAACAAACAAAAAAGCTTCACACAGTGTTAGCTAGATTGCCGCACTGCTTTCTACCATGTGAGGGGCTCAGGGAGAGGGTGATCAGAAGACAATGCTGGCCTCCTGATCTGGGACTTCCCAGCCTCCAAAATGCAGAGAAAACAAACCCCGCTCTTTAGAAATTAGCCAGTCTTGGTTTATCCTGGCACAAAACAGACTATGACAAGTTGTTACAGGAAGTAACTAAAGATGTATGCTTAAAAGATATCTGAAGATATAAAGGCACATGACTCCATACACATACCTAGGATATCATTTTGAAAGACTGTTAAAGTGCAGATGAAAGGTTGTTTTCTACACAGATATATTCTCATAATACTTTGTCTTTATTACTTTCACCTTGCTATGGACTAGTAAAAACATAAACAATATAACTATGAGTATACCACACCTCTGGTTCATGGACCCCTTTCATTTTAAATATTTGTTCTTATGCAAATTTTTCTGTTGATTGGCCTTATATTTATGCAGGCATAATCATCACCAAATAAACTCTAGAATCCATAATTTGGCAGAGAAAGAAGTACACATACATGGCTATGGCAACTGACCCCTAGGAACAGACAGAACTAAATGTTCCGGGTTAAAGATTATTTCTTTTTTCTCAGCTTTTCATCTCTCTTCTACACAACACACTTAAAAAAAAAAAGCTGTGTTACAAGATAAACATGTCTACCCCACATTCAGGATATGGGGTAGAGTGAGGGAATTAGAAGAGCCATGCTGCCATGTAGAGGCAGACTGAGAAAGAGTCTCTGGGCGTTTCTTCTCTGTAAAATGAAGATTAGAACTGCCTACCCATAGTCTTTGGAAGATCAAGAATATTGAAAACTTTAAATACTATTTAAATGGATTTCTATTAATATAAAGTAGAATGTCAACTATGAAAGAAAGATTAAATTCAAATTTACTTATAGTTAACTAGTTAAGAAAATCTTGGAAGTTGATTTTAGTTATTATAAATGTGCCTAAATTTCAGATGAATAGTGAAAAAATAAAAACAAATTCTGATATTCAAAATTAGAGAACAATTTTTTCCCAAATACTGGTGACAGAACCGAGGGCCTTACCCAAAGCTACATCCCCAGCTCTTTGTTTAAGTTCTGATCCACCTGTCTCAGTGTCCTGAGTACCTGGGATTACAGGTGTGTGCCATTGTGCCTGGCTAAATAACAGTTACTGACTGGGCATCATAATGTTCAAAAACAGTAATCATACAACTCTAGGTCATTATAGGACTCTAAAATATCTGATTACTTATTCTCCCACGACTCTGAGCATGGATCCACTGAGTGCTAACAGGGCCTGGGAAGAGCACTTATATTAGGTGGATTATTTCTATTGGCTGGACTGTGTAATTATCAACAATGGAAGTGATCCAGCCAAAATTATAATAATATATTTTCTTAGGGGCATCCTCGGACAGTTGGCTACAACCTATCTTAAATTTTTACTTTGCTGTGAAACCATCCGTAAGACCAAGTGAGGGATCATGATGGAATTAAGCTGCTGGCCTACAGTGCTGATTCTCAAACCTCAGTATGTCTCAGAACCACTAGGAAGAGCCTGATAAAACAGAGATTACTAGATTTCATCCCTAGAGTGTCTAATCCAAGGTGGGATGCATGAAGTGGCATATATAACAAGTTCCTACATGATGCTGATGCTGGTGGTACAGAGACCACAATTTAAGAATCATTGGTCTACTGAAAGGCTGGCAATATATTTTTTTTGGTATAGGACAAGATGGTAAATATCTGAAAATATTAGGCCCTGAGGGCCACAGAGCTCCTCTGTTGCTGGGACTTCCTTGGGAGTTTGTATGCTTAACCTCTTAAAAATACAAAAAAAAAATTCTAAGTTGGAGGACTGTACAAAAGCAGGATTTTGCTGGTCTAATGTAGAGAAGAGGGGTGCTTTCTGTTTCAGTTGCTATTTTTCAAGAGCTAGATTCTGTATCAGTCCTAAGCAAGAAAGGCTCAACAGGCTTTCCCCACTCATTGGCCAGTTATCTGGGCTAAGGAGGTGTAAAAGACTTGGCCTATTG